GTCCAGCCAGTTACGACCAATTGCCAGAGTGCTCCCTTCCTCGTTAACTGTCCCCTGGCCCACACATCTTTCCCGTGCATATCAAATGATTTACATGGTTTTGCATGGTAACCAGTAGTAAAACTACTTTCGCTCTCATGCACGGTAAAAGAAACTGGCACATATGGTAACGGACTAGATCTATTACGAGATGCCATACACCACTCCTTAATTCTCTGACATAAAATGATAGCTTTTATGCAACCAGTAACCCAATAAATTATGTTACTATATTTTACATGGTTGATTACCATGTGTGATTGGAGCAGACAAGTAATAAAGCAAAACTGTGGTGAGATGATGAACCATCACAAGCATACGGTAACCAAATTAATATTTTACTACATTTTCCATGGATGATTACTATATGTAATCAGGAGGACGCATATAATAAAAAAGTTGTGGCGGAGCGGTGAACCATTGCTGCAGCCAGTAACCGAATTAATTCAGTTACTATATCCAACATGGCTGATTACTAGTAGGTGGAAGAAAAATTGGAGGCCAAGGCACTAACCACGCGCATGTTTTCTGGTTGGTTGCATGCTGTTAGGCCGGAGCGTAGAATAAGTGTATTGCGCTCAGGCTCACTTTAGCACACCTATATATATATATATATATATATATATATATATATATATATATATATATATATATATATATATATATATGTGCATGCTGTCCTAAGCAAAAGAAACTGAACCTAAGCTTGCTATGCTTTTGGTGTATTCTCTGACAACAAGTTTCATGGCATATGCCTGTGCATGGATGACATTTGACTATGAATGAACTTGGGTATCTTGCTTATTTCCAAGTCTTGCAGTTCTACATGATGGTTTCAACAGATGGATGTGAACTGAATCTATGTCCAGTTTACACCGATGTAACCTGATTCTGAAGAAGAAAATGCCACATACAGATGGCGTCGAACTTGGCCTCGTCGATCTGACTCTGCATTAAGCAAACTTGCTGGCATCAAGATTTTGGACCCCCTTCCTTCACTGGAAGTCTTCCTTCGAATTCACACTCATTCATTCATCCAGAAAAAAGAACTGATCGACATTGCCAACATCTCACAAGAAAGAAGAGAGCAGAGTTGAAGTTGCCAGCCTGTTTACTTGCAGCTACACCCGTGTTGTTCTTCTTCGCAAAATCCATCAGGTTTTCAGTTGAGACCAATCTAACGATTTACCCATCTCCTGAAACCACAACTGAGCGGGGTGAGATTAGCAGGTTGACAACTAAATAGGCTCTGCTCTACAGTCTGTCCAACACTGTTATTTTGAGACGGTCCACGTTGATTGTGACTAACAAAAAGTGTATGTTAGTAAGATTTATGTTTGGCAAATACTAGTGTTTTGTATTGGAGTATACTATTGGCAGTAAGCTTTTATGCTTCGTGAGAACAATTACTGATGTCAAAATTCTTGTCTTAGATTTATCTAGATACGGATGTATCTAACACTAAAATGGGAATAGATACATCCATATGTAGACAAATCTAAGACAAGAATTTTGGGACGGAGGGAGTAATTGTTAGAGAAGGATTGAATAGATGACAGCACATGGTGAGCGACGCGCCCGGGCATTGTCCATTCTGATATTGCTGCCCGAGTGTCAACAGTGACATCAGTTGGCAAGTGGACAATGATGTATCATTCTAGACAGTGCCACCAGACGCTCGGATTGCCAACTGCGATCTCGCCTTGGCTCGGAAATTTGGATTACAACCTGAAGACGACACTATATATAGAGCCTCAAAAGGAGCACGCAGTTGAGAGGAGCTCTCATGAAAATTGTAACTAAATCAGTTGCACCGTCTGTTGAACAGTTCTTCATCTTTTTGCCTTCTAATAAACAGAAAACAAACAAGAAAAATACTGCTCCCTCCGATCCACAATAAGTGTCACAGTTTCGAACTAAGGTTAACGCTTATTTTGGATCGGAGGGAGTAAGAGACATAAATAGTGTATAGCCTATTGGATTATAGCAATATCATTTCAACTTGTTCAGAAAGAAGCTACGTACTATACTTATTTGCAGCAATTAAGATACCAGCTGCTGCTCTGATGTAGACATGGAAAGTGAAAAATCCTGATACTTTGAACCCGAACTGTTCTGTGATGCACTTAAGAACCCAGGTGCATCGGCAGCAGCTGAGAATGAACAATCTCCACCAACAGGTGACAAGAATATATATATAGCAGCTGAGAAGCAGGCGTCTAAAGTAAGCATCAATTCTACAGCGTATAAACAGATTGAGTGAATAATGTATAGATAAATAACCTTATTCTATACCAAAGGATAAATAAAGCAACCTCCACGTTGATCCAAAAGAAACTACCCAAGTTCAGGTACGACCACAGCATACAAAAGATAGCAGCTACAACCAGTACCAACCAAATGTGTCACTCCAAGGATAACAAAACAACCGTAATAATATAACAACATACTCCCTCCGTCCGGAAATAATTGTCATCAAAATGGATAAAAGGGAATGTATCTAGATGTATTTTAGTTCTATATGCATCCATTTTTATGCATTTATGCGACAAGTAATTCCGGACGGAGGGAGTACATATTTATGTACACGTCTTGGCAACAATTGCAGAAATCGGCGATGGAGTAAACTGAGGGGTCGACCTACGACACATGATGAGAGCCTGAGAAACTCACTCCACCTCATTGAGAGACAGTGGACAAGAGGTGTGGTCCCTGGAGCCATGCTGTTACGAATAAATGAATACATAAGATACTTGAAAGATCAAAAGGTGTTGTGAAATAAAAATTACAAAACGTTATCTCTTTGAGTGAGGGCAGGTGAGGTCTTTACCTTTCTGTTTCTATACAGTTGCAAATCTGGATGAAGACTAGAGAAAATCTTTTATGCAGATATGCTCAATCTTTGGCCAGCTTTCCCCATGAGGTGATTGGCAGCTCTTCTTCAAGAGTTCAGAATCCCGCACGTATATTCCGTGGACGGAAGATGGCAAATCAGGTAAAGATGATATATTGGGGCATCTATGAATTCGCAGCTCCGACAGGCATGAAAAGGACTTCAGATTTCCTGGCAATGAACTGATTTCACAATCCATAAATGACAGGTTGATGACAGATGAGAAATCTACTGAATCCTCAAATGAAAAGGACTCCTTGCATCCTATAAGACGCAAATATCTTGGAGCTTTAATACCTTCAACAGAGAGCATGTGGTTGAGCATTACGGGGCTGCTAACAAATAGGTACTCCTGGACTCGCAGCTGTGAGATGCACTTCATACTGAGGTTCGGGACATGCATAAATTCTGCACCGAAAAGTTGCAGCGAAGACAACCCTTCAAGAAAGCACAAGTCCTGTAGATTTTCTAGTGACAATGTTCTGAGGGAGGTTAAATGACCAATCGACAATGATGAAGAGCTTCTGCAGTGACTCATGTCAAGATATTTCAGGTGTGGCAAGTCAATACTGAGGAAATCAGCTGCGACCACACAGTGTCGTATGTTGAGCATCCCAAGGGAAAATGGCAAAAAATCTGATTCATGTGTCAACTCTACAGAAGGGCAGCTACATAAAGAAAATATTGAAAGAGCGGAAACAGCTCGCAGCCCCCCTAATGATCTAAGGCACCAGCACGAGTTGATGAACAATTCATCAAGCTTTGTCAACTGTTGGAGAACATCCTGTGACGGAAGTGTAGTCAAAGTCATAATCTCTTTTAGTGACAATATTCTCAATGCAGTGAGACCAACAAGGCAAACCGCTAATGCTTCATCTGTAACGACACATGAATAAAGGTGAAGCCGACAAAGCCCTGATGGTGGAACCAGTTGTAGGCTGATGTTCCTTTTACATATGAGTCTTATCCTCTCCACATGGCAACATATCCATGCATTGATGATATCCTCTTTCACCAATGCTTCACTCCCCTCTCTTTTTAGAGTACTTTCAATGGTTTGAAGATGAGAAATATCAACATCCATCAATTTCATCAAGCGCTTCAGAGATGAATGTTCTGACAACAGTATGTCCTTGATGTTTGATCCCGAATCCACCTCCCATGTGGAAGAAAGCCGTGACTTCAGGCTGTCTGTCATCATGGTGTTCTCCCTTTGGTCATATTGTTTTAGCTCATCGCTGGAAATAAACATAAGCAATATGCACTTCTTAATCACTAACTCTTCAAGGCTAGCTGGAAGAGAAGGTAATGTCTTCAAGTATGGGACATTCTTGAGGTGAAGTGAGGAGCAATTCCCAAAGAGAGCGGCATTCGATGGTAGGATTTCTAAGGCACTGCAATTAACAAGTGCAAATGATTCCAAATTCTGGAAATAAGAATCCCTGAGTAACCAGCCTGGGTATTTTGCATATCGGTAACCTTTGATAGTAAGGCCCCTTATTTGCGGTGGTGGCACCAGACCTTCCAGGGTTTCCAAATGTAAACTATCAGGTGCAGTCATGTCATTTTCTTCACTCCATTCAAGGTGCAATCTCTCGAGATGATTTTTCTGATGTAGCTTTGCTTCTAAAGCTTGATCCTTCCCAGCAACATTCTCAAGATTTGAGACACTTAAACTGCCACCAAGGTTGTTCATGTCTTTCAGTTGTCGCAGCTCGTAGCCCCTCTGTTTTTTCACGCAAAATTGATCGAGATTGTGGAGTGAAATTAACTTGCCTATGTAAGGGATTTGGCCACGCCCTTCAAGATTTCTCAACTTACTTAAACTGAATATTTTTTCAGGAAAAGTTTCAACCTGGGGACTGAACTGAAGGTATTGCAAGTGGTAAAGAGCACACAATGATCCTGGCAATTTGGAGATTGAAGTTCTTGTGAGGTTCAAGTACCGAAGGTGCTTCAATTCACCAACAGATTCAGGCAGGTTGCTGCTGTTATAGAACTCCAGAATAAGTACACGCAACTTCTTCAAATTCTGCACCACCTGCTGGAAAATGTCTCTTGCATCATCTGTAACTGGCTCAAGGCAGACAAAGGTACGTAAATGATGTAGCCTGCAGATCAAACGCTGATGTTGCTTCAAACTCTTAACACGAACAGACAGATGTCGAACAGTTTGTGGTATTGTTGCCATCTTATCATCTTCTAATCTGAAGCAGACTTCTTTAGACAATGACTCTGCCAAATCATGAACGAGATCATGCATAACATACCAGTCCATAATTATACCATCATTGTAAACTGGTTGAAAGAATGAAACTGAGAGCATCTCATCAAAGCAGTCCCTCCCAATATCTTCAATTCTTTTGTTCACATTGCACGAATCAAAAAGTCCCTCTCCTATCCACATGCGAACCAACTCCTCCATGAAATAGGGGTGTCCTTTTGGATATAAACTGCAATATAGGAAACACCTCTGCAGACTTGGATCTAAATTCTCGTAACTCCACAAAAGTGCTCTACTGGGATCACTTAAGTTGTCAATCCTTAGAGCATCTTCCCATGCTGCCTTATCCTTTTTCCTGCTTAGTTGTGAACCCACAGTTTTTGCTGCCAGAGGAGATCTTCCAAGTCTTTTAGCAAGCTTCTCTGCAATCGTTTCTAGCTGCTCATGCAACCTCTGGTCTCCAATTGCTGCACCAGAAAAGGCATGTTCCTTCAAGAGTGCTAAGATATCAGTGTTTTTCATTTCTTTCAAAATAATAATTTCCTTACAGTAAAGAGCAGCTGGAAGTGTCTCGGATCGAGAAGTTACCAAAACTTTGCTTCCTGTGTGTCGAGAAACTAGAGGAGCCAGTAGTTGCTCCCAGTCCTCATTGCTGTTTTTTTCAAACCAGACATCATCCAACACAAGCAGGAATCTCTCTGATTTTTTCAGGGTGTCCCTTAATATGCATTGGAGAGTATCAAGATTATCAACAGGTGGGCACTGCCCTCCTTTTGCTGATTCAATAATCAACCGTGTATGGCCAATAACATCAAGTTTGCGCGAGATGCAAACCCACATCCTGACCTGAAAATGTTCTTTTACCCTCTCGTCATTGTAAACATATTGCGCCAAGGTGGATTTTCCCATGCCTCCAAGTCCAACAATGGCTAGACCAGAAAACCTACTTGTATCAGACTCAGCAGCAATCAGCTTGGTAAGAAGACCTATAATATCATCGCGGTCCTTGTCACGACCAATCACTTTCGGAGGTGCTATTGATGTGGCCACTCGAATAACAGCTGCTGGCATTGTGGAGGCCCCAGCAGGTAAGCAAAGTAGTTCACGGAGGCCCTTGGCTTTCGCAAGGATGAGCTTCAGTTCCTTCAACTGGTCGAGTAGCTTTTTGTTCTTTGGGCGCAGATTGGACAGCCTGCTCGACACAGTATGCACATGCTTCATAATAGTACCACTAGAAGATGCATGTTCTATCAAAGAATCCTTCCCCTTCTCTGCTTCGCGCTTGAGGATGTTGTACTCATGCTCATCTAGCAGGTCCTCAGCTTTACAGAATGCGTCTTTGAGCTGCTGGATCCAGTTGTTCAACATTGCCCTGTGAGGGCTCTTGTTAGCTGCTTCAACCAGTAGAGTGAACTGTGGCATGATGTTGGTCTCCAGTTCATGGAGCTCACTCACCATGTCCACACCAAGACACCTTGCGGGGTCAGCTAGCAGCTTCTTCAAGATCGGTGATACCACCAACTGTAAGCCAGCCCGTACACCAGCCACAGCCAATGCCACTTCCGCCATTGAAAGCACACCGTGGTATTGAGGGGGGTGTATCTTTTTTTTTGTGTGTTTCTTGGAAGTAGAAAGGCACGGTGGGAAAATTGGGATTTTTTGAGGAATGAAAATCGGGAATATAACAGAGCAAATATGGGAAATAGGTAAAATTACTCTGAAGGCAGATTGTGTTTGTGTGTGTATTCACAGAATCTTCAATTTGGTTGGTGGTTGGTGGAGAAGATGAAAAAATGATGCAAAGAAGTGTATCTGGAGGGGACACTGAGACAGAATGAATGGGTGAAGACACTAAACCGTAGGGTCAATACGGAGAAGTAAACAATAGCTAACTCTAAAGATTCCTCAAAAAAGAAAAAGATGGCTTCTGGAGTGTAAATCAAAGGTTCAAGACAGCAATAGATGGGAAACCTGCATGAGCGAAAACAGGGAGATAAATCAGTGAACATACAGCAAACAGAGCCGCTGCAAGCTGATTCTTCTTCCTGCTTTTGTGCAAGTTAATAGTATATTTGAAGAAGAAAACAGCAAGAGCAAGACTAACAGTGACAAGAAAGAAAACGAAGGGCATAGAGCTTACGCTGATGAAGGGTGAAGGCTGATGAAGGTAGCTAGCGATTGCAGGAGCAGGTGCGGTGATGAAGGGGAATGAGAAATTGCGGGAGAGGCTGCATCATAGAACACACTGTAAACAGTGCCGCTGCACACTGATTCTTCTTCTTGCCTTTGGCAAGTAGATGTATTTGAAGAAGAATACTAACAGGGACAAGGAAGAAAACAAAGGGCAGCGAGCTTCCACAGATGATGAGCTGCAGGATGACCAAGGCAGCGAGCGATCGCTAGAGCCGGTGTGATGATGAAGGGGAATGGGAGGTTGCGGGCGAGGCGAATTGGAGGCAGCACTAGACCATAAGAGAAATAGGACGCAAGACACTCCAAATGGGGGTCAAGAAGACATGAATGGATCTGATCCACCTAGTCGAATTTTTTAACTTGAGCTGAGCCCAACTTGCTGAAAAGCTAATAGGTACACACTGTCTTTAGCGCACTCACTAATCAAATGATGATTAAAATACATGAAGTGGCCGCCTTAGGTATAATTAATAAAAAGAAAGTGCCCATCCACTCATGTTTTTTAACAATGAAACGGTAGGTCATCTTACCTGCTTCTCTTTATTTGTTTCTTTCTTTCTTTTCCATTATCATGACTGGCCCTTTTGTGATTTCCAAGAACCATCGCTCCAGTTCTCAAAGGTATGACACAGAATAAAATTATGATCTCATATGCCTTCAATTTACAGGATATCCATGGCAATTGACAATTGCAAATGGGTAATATGATGTGCATTGAAGGAACAACAATGAAGACAGAACATGACAACGTGAAACACAGAGGAAGTGGGGGATAAGACAGATTATGACAACTGTAGCAGTTTGGGCCTGAAGATAGGTCACCTTACCTGCTTCTCCTTCTTCTTTTTTCCATCGCCATCACTGGCCTTTCATAGTTTCCAAGAACAAGCTGGAGCAGGTAGGCCACATCCCTGCATGAACATAGGTGAGAGGTTAACTAACTGCCTCGAAGCATGATCAACAGTAAACATAGGTACCCAACATGTTTCATCCTCCTCGGAAAAGAAAGAACAACGATTGCATGTAAATCGGATGGGTTTTTCCCCACTGTTGGTGACCCAAATTGAGTTGTCAAGGCAAGAATCAGTGGTTACATGGAACAAATTGCCTCAACATAGGTTAACTGACTGCCCCGGGCATGCTGAAGCAAGCAAACTCTGCTAAGGTAATTGTTTCTCCCCTGCCACCAACACCAACCTCCGATACATGGAGCCAAGTGTGGAATAATACTAATCTGAACTGACCATAGCGATCTGATCCAGCTAGTTACGTGTTTTAACTTGAGCTGAGCTCAACTTGCGGAAAAAAGTAGCAGGTACCCAGTGTTCCGTAGCGCACTCACTAATCAAATGACGTTTAAAACACAACAAGTGGCCCAAGCTGCCGGCCTAAGCTATACTTTAATAAGAAGTAAGTACTCATTCGTTCCTCTTTTTGTGGTGTTATACGATCAAAGAGTGTTTGTTGGTGCCATGTTTTGATATTACTCGAACAAAGAGTGTTGTTGGCGTGATGGAGTAAACCGAGGTAACCACTGTTTCAACAGGGATGAATATCAGTCGGCAATTAATTAGAAGCAGCGGTTGTGCTGAAAACAGGAGGCAAGTCACAAAACAGGAAGGTCTGGGATTGAGGTGAGTTGTTAACCTGAAGACTCACCAGCTTGAATCTTGTCAGTTTGCATACCGCGTAGTGTAGGACGGACCTGGTGGTAGCACATCAAAAGCAAGAAAGTCAGTGAAGTTTGTTTTAAAGAGTACGTACGAACAAAAATGGTAGGTAGGTCGCCTTACTTGCTTCTTCTCTCTTTGTTTTCCATCACCATCACTGGGCCCTTTGTGATTTCGAAGCGCCTTCCTACGCTCGAGTTGTGAAAGTTACGACAAACAATAAAATACCATCTCTTATGCCTTTGATTTACATACAGGGAATCAACGGCGACATACAATAGCAAATGGGAAACAATGATAATGATATGCATCAAAGGAACAACACTAGAGGCATATTATGACAAATTGCGCTAGCAGTATTATTGTTACCTGCTTCTGTCTCTTTGGTCTCAACAGCGATGATGCGATACGCCGTCACACTCTTCATGGCATTGTCAGGGAGCCCGGGTTCATCTCCTTCGTACCACGTCATCATTGGTGTGGCTAGGTTGGATCCCTACTCGAGGCCTCTTCGACTCTAGAGTGAGGCCATCTTGCCTTCCTCCTACCTTATACATGTCCTTGTTGGCACCTCGCTCGTTCCGCATTGTTCGCAGGAGATCCTTGACGATGCCAATCTTGCATATTTCTCCGTTGAAGCTCTCTTTCCGACTGGGAGTCGCCTTGCAACTAGCACATGTGACCGGTTGTTTGGAATTGGCTGGCAGTGTTCTTTTGTGCTTATTGTGGCGAGGGCCGAGCCAATGGCTGAGCACTCTGAATTCGAAGTCGCTTTGATCGCGGAGTGATAATGACAGCCGTTGTTCGGTGTCGTGTGTGAGTAGCCAGGCGGGGCCATGTGTTGGCTTGTTATGGCGACTTTGTCTTATTTATTTAATTAGCTGGACAATTCTCTTTTTAATTATTATATGATACGAGGCAAAACATTACCTCCGTTTTAAAAAAAAATCAATTAGGGATTCCATTCAAAAGGAACCGCTCGTAAATATTAATTAAATTGATTAAGAGTAATGCTAGGCTCACGGGCAGTCTACGAAGAATTTACGGGGTGGTTAAGGCTAATTGGCTGGAATTTAGACAGGGCCGTCTCCAGGAATTTGGGGCCCCAATACGAAATGCAAAACGAGGCCCTACTTTTTATTTTACAAATCATATAACTAAAACTAACATAATTAGCAAAACATACTATCACTTAATTATATAACTAAAAAGAGTAAAGGTAGTACTAAAAATAAAATAAAATAAAATAAAAAAGAGACCTCATGTTTTACTGAAAAGCATCATCAAACTGGTCTATGTATCCGTTCTCCACTGCTGTGAATTGTAGTGCGATAGACTAGATCCAGTGAGAAATTCTTCTACTGCACATCACCAACAACAGGTCAAGTAGCTACCTGGAAAGTTATAGAAACAATCAAACCACTGATCGAGCCAATAAACAATGGATTGCCTTTACTTTTGAATCACAAAATTTTAGTGATCCCTTTTGTGTTTGCTTCCGTAATACCGTTAGAACATGTGTGGATCTTCCCTCAAAAAAAAAAAGAACATGCGTGGATCAGTTGACAGACGTGGAGGCGGAGAGCTTCTCGTCCTTGACTTTTTCTAACAGCCCTGTCCAAGCAATCTGCAGCTCGGATGAACGGGTCACAAATTCATGTCGTGGGGACTTAAAACGGACCAACGGAGGAAACGGGTAGATCTGCAGATGAAGACCTAAGACATAGAACATGGCCGCTGGGCAGACAGCGCGCAGATGAAACGTCGACGCGACGGCTGGACCGGCGTTTGGGCGACTCGTGAATAAGGGCGGAAGAGTGGGCAGGCCTTTTTCTCTTGTGCTATCCCTTGATGGCCTGGCCTGGCCTCCCTCTGTCCTAAAATTCTTGTCTTACATTTGTCTAGAAATGAATGTATCTAATACTAAAACGTGACTTGATACATTTATTTTATTTTTGGAGGGGGGAAGGGGAAGGTATAATGAATAATGACACAGCGATTTGAGGGCCCCAGTTTTTCAGGAGCCCTGTGCGCATGCACAGCTGGCACATGCCTCTCGACGGGCCTGAATTTAGATAAGTGAGGTGGGCCCACTCCTGAAAATCAAGAGGACGTACGGATCTCTTGCTGAAGCGTTGGAGTAATTGGGCCAACGCACTAGTGATATTTTTCAAAAATTTGAGTAAAAGGGAAGCGCCTCAGCGATCGAACCTGGGATCACATGGTTGCTTCCATTGGTGGACCTAGCCCACTGGGCCAGGGTGGGCCAGCAGTGTACTATACATATACACTTACTTTTTAATTTTTTTTAGCTTTCTCCTATGATACAAATGCTGTTTTCAAATCTCAGGGTGGGCCCACCCTGGCCACCCTCTACCACCGCCACTGACTTGCTTCGTTACCCTGATAGCCATTTTATACTGGTTCTGTGTGTTTTTTTCATCAGGTTTTCTTCATTTATTTTTCCCTCCTTTTACAGTTCTTTCTCTCTTCCTCATTTTTATTCGATTTTCTATGGTTTTTTGCTTTTTCCTTTCCTTTTTTTGTTTGGTTTTGTTATATCTTCTTCGTTTCTTTGTTTTTTCTTTTCGCTTTTCAATGTTTCTTTCATTGTTTTTATCAGTTTTCCACTTTTTTGCATTTTTGTTTGTTTGTATTTATTTTTCATTTTCCTTTTTCTTTGGTTTATTTTGTTTCTCTTTCGAG